GATAATGAGGATATTGGACCTCTTATTCTCTCTCTCTCTCTCTCTGTGGTATTTTGGAGTTTTCATGGTAACTCTGGTGAACTGGAACTCTTTCTATGTTTGCATGTGTTTTGTGTTTACGTTGGGTATTGCTGGAATAATTCTGATTGGGATTTGTACCTCATGTTATATTCTTCATATTTGATAGGACGAATGGTCTCATTAAGGACTGATAATGGTCCTGTTCTTGGTTTTTTTTTTTTTTACGTGGACTTGTCAGTGGTGTATTGTTCTTTTTTGTGGTGTGTTCTCTTCCCTTCCGTTTCTTTGTGAGTATCTTTATTGACGGTTTGTTTTTACTATGAATTTCTCTTCTTCTGTGGATCTTTGGATAGTTCATTATACCCCAAAAACACAAGAAGGCTAACTCCTGACATGATGTTGTCGCGCCGTTTCTTTTATCTTCTGGTTTTGCTGCTAAGTGTGGCAATTGTCTGTGTGGCGACTGACACCGATTCTGAAGAGGAAAGGAATGCTAAGATTGCGGCAAGGGCTGCTGAGATTGAAGCTTCGCTTAATGCCCAGCTTGCTGCTGATAATGACGAAGGTCAGAGTGAAGCTGCCAGTACAGCTTCCGGTGAAAATGGTGGAGCTGCGGCAGCGAAGAGTGAAGGGAAGAATGCAGCCAGCGTCAGTTCTGTGTGGATGAGTGCGTCTCTACTGATTGTGGTTACACTGGCCAATGTTCTTGTGTGCTGATTGTAATGGTGGTGTGACTCAGGTCATCCTTTGTTTTCTTTTTCTTTTTTTGCATGTATCCACACTACAGTCTAACTAATCTTTTACCTGTTGGGACTATCTTTTTCTTTTTCGTTTCTTAATATTATTGTGTTTTGTGTGTTTTTACTCTCTTTGTGTTTATCCTATAATTATTATTATTGCTACTCTATAGTGTGTGTACGTGGAGACTCTCTCTGTGTGTGTGCACCTGGGCTTTGCACTGTAATGATAATGATGAACTGTTTTTGTGTAGGGGAAAAAAAAATAATAACAGATGAATATATATTTGTAATTGCTGATATACACATACATATAGACTTACACCCATAATGGATGTATTTATGTATTTACTGTGGAAGTTGGTATCAATTGTTATAATATGTTTGTTTTCTTGTGTTTTTTTTTTTTTTTACACAGTTGGGCGTTTTGTCCTTAACTGTTTTGTTGTTCTGCTTCATGCATAGGAAAAAA